TAACTGCTAATTTATCTTATTGATAAATTTATTAACAGAGCTTAATTAATCAATGCAGTAAGAAAAAAAGAGATGTTTTAGTTAAATCTACTCCTCCCTCTGATCTTATAGACAACTGTTTATAAATATCAGAAAAAAAAAACAGTGACAAAAAAAGGTAAGGAAGACAAAAACAGTCTAAACGCTACACAACAATCAAAAATTACTTTATACCTAATGAATACTGCAGAGCTGTGATAGTTGCTGACAATGCTGATATGCTCATTCAGTGCTCTGAATTAAGGGGTGGTTGAAACCACTTTAACAAATTTTTTGGGCAATAAAAGCTTTGGTAATTATCAACTTTACTCCCCCAGCAGTATCTCATAGTTGGTTAGCACTGATAACGACAACAACAAAGGTACACTACAAATTTGTCAACTGTACCCGAAATAAAAACAGTCAAAAACATAATCATTACTTAGCTTTCTTCTAGCAAATTTGTAAACAAAAAAAAAAAAAACTTTCCTAGATCAAAAACAACAAATTCATTTTTTTTTCAATTCTTAGTTTATTATTCTTTTCTCGAAGTAACTTTTTTTCTTTGACTGTTACGAAAACAGTTGTACAGGTTTGGAATGAATTAATTGAAATATCTTTCCAGTTTCACTAAATTTTTCAACAAAAAAGTTTTTCCACTTTCACTATCGAAGAGTGGAAGAAAACAGATTTTTTTTTTTTTGAAATATGATATATTAAAACAAAATAAAGCGAAAAAAGTGCTAAAATGCAGATTTAATAAATTTTTGCTGTATTTTCCATCCATCACTTTTATTTTTTCACTGGTACTCAAATAAAACAAAAAAAAAAACTGAAGAAAAATTGGTAACAGCTGTAACTCAAAAGTTTCTAATCAATCAACCAGTAGCCAAATAAAACTGATCAATAAGGGAGGAAAAATAATAACAGATTTCTATTCAATTTGTTTACTCTTAACTGTCAACAAAGCTCTTGTTGTAAGCTAGGAAATCTGCTCTAAATAAGCTTTATCTGCATCATTCAAGCAAATATTGAAAACAGAGCAAATGATCAGTAGTTCCTTCCGTCTAGATTTATTGCTGTTACCGTAGAAGAAGATAACAAGTAAAAAAAAGCTATATATAAGCTATCACTGATTTAAAATTGACATAGAACAGTAATAATGAAGAGTTTTGTACAGTTTTACAGTTAGGGTGTCAAAATATGCGCTCAAAAACCTAGAACAGACCCTATTCATGATAATCAAAAGCTACAGCAGAAAATTCAGCTGTAAATTATACCTTCTGAAAAACTGCCTCGCAGATCGACAATGACATGAAGACGTCCATGAGGTTCTAAGTGTACCTAAAAACAGCAGTTAAGATTTTCCTAATTAAAAAAAAATAACAAGAAGGATAACTTTTATAAAACAAAAAAAGCTTTTTGTCAAACTTACCCAAATGTCATTGCTTGAAACTTTAAGATCTTCAAGCAATAATCTACAATTGGCAACAAAATCATCGGGCGGAAGAGCGCAATCATGAAAAACGGTGAAGCCAAGTACACGACCACTGTGTACCTCTAGCTGAAACATGTAAAATTGTTACTTATTTTGCTGCTCTTCATCTCTTAATTTATTAATCACTCTATCATTCACTAAGAACATATACACGTACATAGTAAAAGATTCAAAATTTTGGACAAAACAACAGAAAAAAAAAAAGAAAAATCAAGAACGAAAAAAAAAACAGGGAACAAAGAATATAAATGTTGCATGCAACACGAAAGAAAAGAACATTTCTGAATAGAGAAAATGTGAATAACAAAATGCATAAGAAACGGAATAGAACACGAAGTGTTTAGGTTTTTGTGAATAAATAAAATTTTTTTTAGACTAATTACAAGGTATATAAGCAGATAATTAAATGATAGCATTTATCTACTTCTAAATTATAATTTGAAAGTCTTTTGCATCTTTTGCTCGGCTAAAAAACAGTTTTTTAAACTAAATAAAAATGCATCTGTTAGAAGCAAAAAATGAGCTATTTTAAAGCTGCTCTCTTTTCTTCTCCAACTATATTATTATAAGAAAAAAGTACCAAAACGTAAATAATTTTTTGTATAATAATTTTTTTTTTGCTCAATCTAAATCTGTTTGCTTTTGTATCGAAAAGTAATAGCTGTAAGGAGAAAAAAGTGGTGTCAAAACGGCCAAAAAAAGTTTAGGTATCAAAAAATTGATAATAAAATCTAGAAATCATTAAAGCTGACGCTAGTTTGATGACTGTTTCAATGATCATAACTTCTTTTAATACTGCTTATTTATCATTAGAAAAACTATCTCGTTTTTAACTGCTAATTTTCCAGTAATCTTTATATTAGAGTAATCTGACAAAAAATCATGAGAGAATTTTTATTTTTTAAGAAAAATTTGTTTGTCTTTTCACTGCCGTTAAAAAACAAAAAAAAGAGATTTTTTTTAAAAGAAAAATAAAACTGCATAAAAGACTAGTCGACAATGTGTGAGGTATTTGACAACTGTAATTTTTACCTTCTGTTTCTTTTCAGTTGAAATAGTTTTGAAAAAAAATAAATTATCATCAATAATTTTTTGTCAGACAGAAAAAAATAGTAAGCAGTTTTTGAAAACCGATGAATGCCCCGGTTCAGAACTGCTGCTACAGCAACTAAACCCTCCACTAACCGTTAACTGTACAACAGCTTCTATCAATCGTTGGGCAGCCAAGTGCCGGGAAGTAGAACAAACAATGGTTTCAAACAAGTTTACCGAGAAACTGTTTGGTGCTAAAAAATTGAAAATTAGAAATTTTTCGAACAAAAGAAATAGTGGCTTGCAAAATGGTGTTACTGGAAGCTTCCAGAAGAAACCAAAAACACATACCGATTATAAATTGTAGTTATCTGATGGTTGAATATATCGAAATTAATTAATAAATTTAAGCTTGATGTTGCCAATAGTACAGCTGAG